TTGTACACCAAACCTTCCGGTGAGGTATTTAAATGAGTTGAAATATGTTACAAATATTAGTACCTTTGGCTTAGTAACAGAGCTAATTTATAACATTAAGAATTTCCTCTCAACTCAATGCTTGTACAGCTGACATTCAACATTTAACTCAAAACAAGCTAAATAGTGACATCATCTTGCCACTGAGATTTTACCATGTCTATGTGCTAAATCATGTGTGTAATTTAGCAAATTAACTCATATGCATTTCCCCACTCACAATTCTACTTAACAAATGTGGTAAAGGATTTCAATTCCCTTGCCCCAAACACACAATTGTAACTATCTTTCATCCTGAAAGTGAAAGTATGTACACTATGCCAACCATGTGCCCATCATTGTGGGAACTGCCACAGATTACCCTCTTCCTTTTTAGAAAGAAATTTTTCTTCATCTGAAAGAGTGAGAGAAGAGGAGAGAAGTAGATATGGAGATGGAAAGAAACTATGCCACCTGAAAAAAATAAACCTTGGTCTGGATAATGAGTCCAGCTGTCATCTTGGCAAAGCTGCTGAAGTCTAAGTTTTGTTCTGAGAATGTGTTTATATAATTCTGAGTTGACTTATTTCTCTAGCACTTTAAAAATCTTTTCCCACTGTTTTCTGGCCTTCCTTTCTGATGAAAGGTTAACAGTCTTTTGAATTGTTCCTTTGTATGTAAAGTGTCCTTCCTTATGAAATTTTCTTTTAACCTTTGGTTTTTAGCAGCTTTGCCTACCTATGTTTTTCTCTGAATTTATTACTGCTTAGGGTTCACCATGCTTCTTGAAAATGTTCTTCATCAAATTTGGCTAATTTTTTGAACATTATTTCTTCAAACATTTTTGCTGTTGTTACCCATTCTCTTCTTTTTCTTCTCCTGGGATGCCAATTATGCATACATCAAGCTTTTTTATGTTGTCTGAAAGGTTCCTAATGCTGTGTTCATTTTTGTTTGCAATATTTTTTCTATGTTTCTTAGGTTGGGTCATTTCTACTGATTGACCTCCAAGTTCACTGATTTTTCTGTGTTATTATCTATTTCACTATTAAGCTTAGCAAGCTAATTTTTTATTTCTGATATTGTATTTTCCATCCTAGACTTCTCCCTCCCTATTTTTCTGGTCTTTTCATTCATTACAAACCTTTTTTTTTTTTTTTTTTTTACTTTATTGAGGATAGTTAACAGTTGCTTAAAATCCTTGTCTGTCATTTCAGCATTTTAGGTCATCTCATGTTGGTCTCTGGTCATCACCTGTTCTCTTGAGAATGGGTCACATTTTCCTAATGTTATGTAATTTTAGAATGTTTACTGGATATCCTGAAAGTTATATTGTGGGGATATGAATTTTGTCATATTCCTCTAACACTTACAAGGACTGTTAACACTTCTGTTTTAGCAAGCAATTAAATGCATGGGGGTGAAACGGCAACCTCTGTCTCTGAGTGACTATTCAAATCACGTGTCAGTACTTTCATGTGTAGCCGTACTACTTTAGGCCTGACCATTGGAGGTATGGCTCAGATATTTAGTATTGGTTATTTCTGTGTGTACACAGCACAACCCTCACCCCCAATATACACAGAATATTTTCTCTATTAGTTTAACTCAGAACTCAGAATGACTTTCTCATACAAACAACTTTATTACCTTGAGGGGTTAAGTCAACCAATCTTTAGGTTGTTTAACCAATCTGCACACAAATCCAGTTACAACTGCTCATCACTGACTCAAGAAACAGCAAAACAATGATCCTCCTATAGGATCACCTTTACCATCAAGTTCTCTTCAGTAAGGAAATATGCCAACCAAATACTTCCTAAAATTCTGACAAAGGATGGATTTCTTTTTCTGGGTACAATGTAGAAGTGAAGACATTTACTCCTGCAGTAACAAACTCAGATGAAATATAAAGATCATACTTTCCCACCAGTCTAGCAAAGAGCATGGGTGCTGTGCAGCTGTGATAGCCAGGCTCTCTATAGGCTCCCGGGCATTCACCTCCTGGTGGTCAGCCCCATGTCATCCCCTGTCTCCATGAATAGGCTTCTCCCAAGTCATCAGTAAGGTGTAACAGAAATAATGTGAGTGGCTTTGAGGGTAGGTCATAAAACACAGCTGCATACTTTCCATTTCCACCATTCGTGTATCACTGGCTCTGTTGTTGCTCTAATTCTCTTAGACTTTTAAACTGAAAATGGTACTTATGAACTTGTTTTAGAGATACTACATAACAGGAGAAGCATACTCTGGGGCTACATCTGGGCTAGAAGCAACATGTAACAGCAGTGGAGAACTCACTGAGCCCTAAGTTCTCAATGTCCTTAAAGAGAAATAATACCAAGTTTGTTCAACTATGTAGTGTTATTTGTTTCCCCTCCTGGCTAAATTAGAATTTTAAATGAGAATTTTTCAGAGCATTTTACTCACTCACAAATTAGAAGGTCCGGGACAGGGACTTCCCTGCTTTGCTCACCACTGTATATACCCATTATCTAGCATGGTGACCCAACAGAGCAGTTGCTCAATAAATGCTCACTGAATGAACTGAACCAAGACCCTTGCTCAGAATCAGGAAGGGTAATTTCTTTCTTTTCTTTAGAGACAGAGTTTCCCTTTGTAGCCCTTAGTAGAGTGCTGTGTTGTCACAGCTCACAGTAAACTCCAGCTCTTGGGCTTAGGTGATTCTCTTGCCCCAGCCTCCCGACTAGCTGGGACTACAGGTGCCCACCACAATGTCTAGCTATTTTTTTGTTGCAGTTTGGCCGGAGCCAGGTTTGAACCCGCCACCCTCAGTATATGGGGCTGTCGCTCTACTCACTGAGGCACAGGCACCACCCCAGGAAGGGTAATTTCTAGGTCTCAAATACACTTATGCCGTTTCTGTTAGATTTTCCTCAGAATGTTGTTCTACCCCTCTAGCCCTCCTTCTCCCTAGGGTAGGGCAGTAAGCACCACCACTTCCACGTGAAACTGGGGAGTCCCTCTTTGCATATTCAACAGAAAAAAGGAGACCTTTAATTCTGTTGTCAAGTCTTCAGCAGTGGGCAGTGTCTGTGGCTCAAAAGGGTAGGGCGCCGGCCCCATATGCCGGAGGTGGTGGGTTCAAACCCAGCCCTGGCCAAAAACTGCAAAAAAAAAAAAGTCTTCAGTAGTTATCATCTATTTAACTTCTGAATACACATGCCACAGGAATATTATATACATTTTTAGGTGCAAAATAAGTCAAAAAACCTTTTGATGAGCTGGCTTAGGAATGTAAGGAACAGAACTGTTTCTATGAAAAATGCATTCTGAGTTTTGAGTCAAGCCAACAGACTGAAAATGTTTTTTGGGTTACAATCTGTTTGTAAGTGGAATTGCTTATACCCCATACTAATATATAAAAATTGGTTGATAGATCCCATTAATAATTATGTTTATTAATTACTAACAAAAGACCTTAATAATAAAAGTATAGAATATGTGTATCAGCTAATAATTTGTATATTTTCCCCACTATTTATTTTTTTAAAGATTTGGAACTCTCATAAAATTCACTACTACTGCTATCAGATACCAAGTTGAGTATTAAAAAAATAATCTTTCTATTCAAATAGCAGAAAGCACAAATAGAACTTTCTGGTAGTCAATAACACCAATATCTAAACATCAAAGAAGGCTTTTCATCTTCAATCAAAGTCATTCCTTAATTGTGATAAGAGACTTAGATCATATCTCAATGCAGTCCCTGGAGGTTTGGCTGTGGGATAAAGCGCTGTTAGCTTCGGAGCTTGCTTGCATCATTCCACATATCATGGTGATCCAGGACATTTTACTCACTACTCGGAAGAATCAGGCTATATTAAAATCTTTTAAGAACTCAATAGGATTAACAACAATGTAATATCGCAGCTGTGACATAATCATCTGTAGAAAAATCACCAAGCTAGTTTTTACTAACTTACCCTAGTCTCTCTGCCTCACAGAAAGTTCTGGAATACACCTATCCGTTTGGATTTCATCAGCTTATATAGGCACTGAACTCACCTAGGGGTTTCCCAAGATAACAAATGTATAACTATTCCTAAGGGAAGACATCAATTCTAGTATCACCCTCTTTGGAGCAATCAAAGTTCACTGCCCATCCCCTGGAGTCATGATGTGATAACAGGAGAGTGGCTGTCCTCTATGTATAAATTTATTACCATCCCTTTTCTTTCCAGAACTACATGGGCCAGGTCATGCCAGGCTTTGGGGATGAGAAGAGGACAGTCAAACATGCTGGTTAGGTAGCCTCAGAAGTGTTCCTCTGGCTGCTTAAGTGGGCAAAGTGAGACAGACAAAAGCAGGTCTTGATAGTCACACAGTCCATTTTAAGCCCAGACCACTCTGGGAAAAATTTTAGGCTGCTTCTGTCCCAGTGTTATAAAAGAAGAAGCTGAAGCCATCTTTCTAAAAGACTGACCAAAAAGGAAAAATTATTTCTGCTCTAAAAATAAAACCCCATTAACTAAAATGCCTGTTTCGATTGACAGAATCATGATTTATCTTAAGGGTCTACCTCAAATGTTAAGCTCTAAATATTTCCAACTGGTAAACCCTAGATATTCGGTCTGTTTCTTCAGTAAATTGTCACTGCAACAGAGTTTAGAGAAAGTAAACTTCTACTTTCTATGACCGAAACCACTGAGTTTATGATGGTACCTGAGGCCATATACACATATATCAAATCATCACACTGTATACTAGAAATAAACACAATTTTACTTTTTATTTTATACCTCAGTAAATCTGGGGAAAAATATAACCATTCATTGCTATTGCAAAAAAAGGTACACATGGATTCATTTTTCTCTAGACTGGCAAATAAAAAACTTAGTGAATTCAACGTGCACTATTCTAAACTGCTGGTCCAATATTAGCATATTAAGGCCAAATTAAATAGAATTATCAAAAATAGTTCACCCATCTTTGAGTTCAAAATGTGAAATCAGCCTTACCCACTGCAGCCGATGACTTTATTGTACAGATACGATGGCAAGCCTTTCAGGTGAATGTTGTTATCCACGTACACATATTGTAGTTCTCGAGATCGACCTAAATCTGGATTAGAAAGAAAAGTACTATAATTCCTATAAAAAGGCACCATCATAAGATGAAATAAAAATTTAATACACAATATTAGCAGTCTTCAACAATTTCTATTCTGGAAGAAAAAATGTTACAGGTTTATCTCTGAGTGTGAAATTATGTCAGCAGCAATGTTAGATTCTGTATTAGAAAACATGACTGCAGGAAAATTATTTAACCAACCTAGACCTTGGTTTCTTAAAGATAACTAGGAACAGAGTGCTATTAAATTTCCTTCCTACCTAAAAATTCTATGATGTTTTATAGACAATTTCAATTTAAGAATGAAGTTTGCTGTAGGTCACTTATTTTCATGTTCCTCCATAGAAAGTGTTATACAAAGTAAGCTGATGGGTCAGCCTAAAATCCCAGTTCTGCTTCTTGATGAAAAGACTTGCTTGCTTTGGCCAGGTTCCTAAACCTTCTGTTAAGTTCATCTGTGGACTTTCCTGTAAAATCTAGTTTTAGCAATGAACCCTGCTAAGTCAGCAAGAATGCCTCACTCTGGATATCTGACTGGGTTCCTCACTACCCCTCCTCCCCAGGTCTACTCATCCTGTCTTCAGCAAGAATCCCCCCTTAATCTTAAAATTACCTCTTAAAATTATTTTCCATCCAGTGACCTCCATCCTATTCCTTGGTTATAAAGTCCCACTGCTCATGCTTTATTCAGAGTTGACTCACTGCAAGATTCTGTTGTAGTGGTCCCCTTACCTATGGTGATGGTTTCAAATAAAGTTTTCCTTACATGCTTTAACAAGTGTCATTGAATAATTTTAACACTCCATATCAAGATTTCCTAGGTCTCCCCTTCCCTGGGCAGAGAGATAGGAAGTGGGTAGGGGAGGGCTGGGAATCAGGTGCCAGCTGGGCTGGGATCTCAGGAGCCCAACTGATGTGGGAATGGACAGAGCCCCTGGTTTACAGGGTGAGGAAGAAGTGAAGCCAAACCCAAATCCCAGTCCTTGTGGGACATGAAGGTGAGGTAAACAAGGTCTGTGAACTGTCATGGGGGCCCCAAAAGAAGGTTCGTAACAGGAACAGGAACAGGAATGCCAGAAACAGTAGCAGGGCAATGGGGGGAGCAAAGACTAGAAGAGGATTATGTAAGGAAATAAGGCTCAAAGTTCAGAGAGAGACTTCCAGCCAGTATAGGCAGCAGAGGTGTTTCCCAAAGTCATCCCTCTCCATATGCCCAAGAGTGTCTGACCAGCTCTCCGTTCTACTCCTAAACACTCACCTAGTAGGGCTACTTGTTTTTATTGTCACAGAGGCACACAACAGAGTCCTCAGCAGCCTTGCTAACCCTCTGCTTTCTGAAGCAAGAACATAATCTTTGAAAGGCTTTCTAGGGTTCTGCTTGTGAAAAAAGACCAGAAAGCTAAATTAGACATTTTTAGATTGACAGTTCAAAAGAAAACCCATTAAGGACCTTATAGACACTATTCTAGTCCTTAGAGATAAAGACATGAACACAGCATTACAAGATGTGAAGGCAGATAGGAAAAATAAAAACTGTAACACAATATGGTCACTTCCATTAAAGAGGCTGGTGTAAAAGCCTCATGGTTCACAGATGGGTTCTGGACAATTTGTCATAGAAAGTTGGGGAGGGTACCACAGGCTGAGTGAGGGCCAGCTCCTATGGGGGAGAGAAGGGAGGGTTGACATAATGTCCTTCTCTCTCCTGCTGCTCCCGTTAGAGTATGATGCCCAGTTATAAACAAGAACCAAAATTTCCCTCAGAAGGGTTATACCAATTTACATTTCCAACAGCAATGTATAAGAGCACCTGCTCCCTGTGAGAAACAAAAAGTTACATTTTTTAAATTTTGTCATTCTTATAGGTGAGAAATTGTATCTCAGCACTGCTTTAATTTGCATTTTCCTAATTATGAGTTTGGACATTTAAAAGTATGTCTGAGGGGCATATATGTGTGTGTGTATATATATGTATATACACACATATTGTGCGTGTGTAGTGTGTGTGAATTTTCTGTTCAAGTCTTTCTCCCATTTTTCTACCAGGTTTTTGGTATTCATGCCTCATTTTTTCTAAAAAGCCTTTTATATATTAGCAATATTAGCTGCATATCTGTGGTATATGTTACAAATGTTTCCCTGTTTATCGATGGTGTATTTTATCCTGTGAAAAATTTTAATTTCTTTATGAATCAATTTATTAATCCTTTGGTTTTGGGCTCTAGATTTTGAATCATAGGTAGAAAACCTCTTCCTGTGACACCCAAGTTTAAAGCAGAATTCATCCATGTTTTCTTCTAGTGTTTGTATGGTTTTGTATGGTTTCACTTTTCTATTTTTTTACACTTAGATCCCTCATTCATTTGGAGTCCATTCTTACATATGGTGTACAAAGCATAGTTAATATTTTTTTCCAAATGCTAATCCAACTGTTTTAGCATTATTTATAAACTTTGTAGTCCACCTTTATTCCATAGATGGAATATTTAAGTCTATCTTTATTATTTTTGTACACAAAAATAGAAAAAAAAAAGATCTACAAGAGAAAAAAAAATCTTAAAGTACACATATTCCAAAAGAGAATAATTGTGTTGTTAAATCAAGTTTCAAACATGTAGAAAGTAAAAGGGAGAAAACCCTCAAGATTTCACATTGTTAGAACTAATAAATGAATTCAGTGAAGTTGCGAGATAACAAAATCAACAAACAAAAATGAGTAGTATTTCTATCTACAAATAACCTAGCAAGAAAAACATCAAGAAAACAATTCCATTTATGATAGTACAAAAAAATTAACATACCTAAGGATAAATTTAATTAATAAAGTGAAAGATCTGGCTCGGTGCCTATAGCTCAGTGGCTAAGGGCGACAGCCACATAAACTGGAGCTGGCGGGTTTGCATCCAGCCTGGACCTGCCAAACAACAACAATAACAACCAAAAAAAAAAATAGCCAGGCGTTGTGGTGGGCACTTGTGGTCCCAGCTACTTAGGAGACTGAGGCAAGGGAATTGCTTAAAGCCAGGAGTTTGAGGTTGCTATGAACTGTGATGCCACAGCACTCTACTGAGAGCAATACAGTGAGACTCTGTCTCAAAATAAATAAATAAAAATAAATAAAGTGAAAGATCTATACACTGAAAAGTATAAAACACTGATGAAAGAACTGAATTGTGAAGACACAAACGGAAAGATACCCTGGATAGAAAGAGTTAATACTGTTAAAATGCCCATATTGCCCAAAGCAATATACAGATTTAATGCAATCTTTATCAACATTCCCATGGCATTGTTCACAGAAATAGGAAAAAAGAATACTCAATTTCTTTTTTTTTTTTGAGACAGAGCCTCAAGCTGTCCCCCTGGGTAGAATGCTGTGGCATCACAGCTCACAGTGACCTCCAACTCCTGGGCTCAGTGAGTTTCCGGCCTTTGTCTCCCAAGTAGCTGGGACCACAGGTGCCTGCCACAACACCTGGCTAATTTTTGGTTGCAGCCATCACTGTTGTTTGGTGGGCCTGGGCTGGATTTGAACCCACCACCTTAGGTGTATGTGGCTGGTGCCTCAGCCACTTGAGCCACAGGCGCTGAGCCAAGAATACTAAATTTCATATGAAACACAAAAAAAACCCCAAATAACCAAAAATTTGAAATTATATTCCAAAGCTAAAGTATTTAAAACAGTATGATACTGGCATTAAAAGAAACAGACCAATGGAAGAGAATAGAGAGCCTAGAAATCAGTCTAAACATATATGATTAACTAATTTCCAATAAGGATACTGAGAGGACACAATGGGGAACAAAAATTCTCTTAAATAAATGCTGCTGGAAGAACTGGATTTCCACACACAAAAGAATGAAATCTTATACTATACACAAAAATCAACTCAAAATTGATAAAAAAAAAAAAAAAACCTACAGGTAAAATCTGAAACCATAAAACTCCTAGAAGAAATCAAACTTCTAGAAGAGAACACAGAAGAAAAATCTTCTCAACAATGGCCTTGGCAACAATTATTTTGATATCATACCAAAAGCTCAGGCTATAAAAACAAAAGTAAGTAAATGAAACTACATCGAATAAAGTTTCTGCACAGCAAAGAAAACAATCAACAAAATGAAAAGAACTCTTATAACTCAGCAGCAGAAAAACAAATAACCAGATTAAAGAATGGGCAAAGAGGTGTAGCGGCTTACACCTATCATCCCAGCACTTTGGGAGGCTGAGGTAGGAGAATGGCTTAAGTCCGTAAGTTCAAGGTTGCAGTGAATTACCACCATACCAACGAACTCCACCCTGGGCAACAGAGCAAGACTCTGCCTCAAAAAAAAAAAAAAAAAAAAAGAAGGGCAAAGAATGTAAACCCACATTTTTCTGAAGAAGGTACAAAAATGGCCAACAGGTATAAGAACAGGTGCTCAATACAATTAATCATAAAGAAAATAAAAATTAAAACCACTGGTTTAATACCAGTGGTGATACCACTGGGAGGTATCACCCTCGCCTCTCCTAAGAACAGCTATAATCAAAAAGATATGGGAAAAAATAAAAGGTGGGTTCTGGACAATTTGTCATAGGAAGTTGGGGAGGACAATGCAGGCTGAGGTGAGGGCCAGCTCCTATGGGGGAGGGAAGGGAGGGCTGACATCATGTCCTTCTCTCCCCTGCTGAGATAAATGCTGGCAAGGGTATAAAGAAAAGGGAACCTTAGTACACTATTGATAGGTATGTAGATTGGTATAGTCATTGTGGAAAACAATATGGAGGTTCCTAAAGAAATTAAAAATAGAACTAATTACCACATGACCTAGAAATCCCTCTTTTTGGTATATACTCAAATGAGGTGAAATCACCACCTCATGAAGCTATCTGCACTCTCATGTTCATGGCAGCATTGTTCACCATAGCCAAGATATAGAAACAACCTAAATGCTTACTGACAAAGGCATGGATAAAGAAAATGTGGTATATAGGTATATTAAAATTA